CGGAATATATTTTTCGTATCCGGAGCAACGCGGCTTTGCAACTGGCTTGAACGTGTCCACGTGCGACCTTCGCCACGCACATCAAGTCAACATTGTGGAAGCCTTTGTCACCCTATTATCTGGGAGTATAATACAGACAAACAGTGAGTTCGTTCCAATTAGTCGCTTTTTCCCTTTTTTACCAAAAAGCCACTTGTAATATCTTTTTTCCCCACGTGTTCCACTTTTTTCATTCAAGAAATATTTATTTTGTTTTTATTTATTATATTAATCTATTGCTAATGTCACAGAGTGCATAATTTTCATTATTTCGCAATAACGCACCGGCCACCTGCGCAGTTACATTGCCACTCAGCGACCATGCCTAGCCCTTTTTTTGTGCATTTACTGATAAGGATCAGCTGCTTGATGCTGTTACTCGCTTTGCCATTCACAGATTTTATGTAACATTATTGTATTTTATATATTGTATGCATTTTTTTGTTGCATCGTCCGACTATCGCCTAGTAGCACTTTTTTGCATACGCATTCATCGAGTCGAACCTACTCAAAATGGTTGACTTGAGGTCAGTCATTTTGAGTTGGTTTGACTCCATGTATGACTGATGAACTCGATGATGACGAACTTTACATAAAAGACGCAATGTTATGAAATCAAAGCTTATTGTAAGCTTAACAAATTATAACAAAACTAAGTTTAACAAATTCTTAGACATTTAAAAAAAAATCATATATATCTCAATTGCAGCGCTTAAAATTTTAAAGTTTATATACGGAATTTGATGTTTTGCAGACATACATCAAAGTCTTAGAGGAGGAGCCCCAGTGCGACGCTTCCACCGCTGAATGGGAGCAGTTCGTGGCCCAGTATTTCGATTTCGTGGCTCTCGCCCGCAGCATGTTGGGCACTACCACCAGGGTCATAGGTTCCACATCAAACTCCGATAGCAGTAAATCAGGTGCACCGAATATAAATAAAAATAGTTTTGTTCGCTTGCCCAAAATTAATTTGCCGCATTTTGATGGAAGTTATGGAATTTCCAGATAGCTTCATTTCTTCAATTCATAATAATAATTTATAGGTACATGACACATAGAAATTCCATTATTTGAGAACTTCATACCAGGGAACTGCAGCATTACTTATTAAAAATATCGTTTTCAAAGGGGATAATTACAAAATAGTTTGGGACTTATTATGTGACCATTTCAATAATGATCGCCTCTTTATGCATAATCATATTCAATGTCTTTTTGATGTTCGGCCAATTATAAAATTGATCAATAAAAATATAAGGGCACTTACAACTTGAAATCAGCCTACTAAGCATTAATTACAAGTCGCCATTGGGAAGAGCATCATAATAGTTTAACTGAATTTTGATACAACTTTGTCTATTTTTAAGCAGAAAAAGGTGGACTTATGGAAATCTATAGAATGTAATCATAACTTGACTGATAATACGATAGTTGCCTTAAATAATAGTCTTAATTCTTACAATACTAATTAAAAAAAGTAAACAAAATATAAACATAAAATAGTTACCCAATAAAAATAATACAATAATTTGTCCGCTTTGCTCCCAGAGTCATACCTTATTTACATGCGATTCCTTTGAAAACTCCCCATATAAAATCGTATATTCAGAAGGCAAAGGATCTTTAAAGTTTGTTCAAATTGACTACGTGTGGGCCATGGTGTTAAGCAATGCAAGTTAACTCACTGCAAGTAAATGCAAATATAAGCACAACACCCTTTTGCACTTAGAGTCTAATGACACTGCGCCTCTTATTAATGTATTGCCATTTTCATGTAATGATATTACTTTATCAGCTACTTCTATATAGCAGGAAGGAGCTGGGCTGGCTGTGCTAGCTAGCCCAACATACTCTGCACGCACAATGGACCAAGTACGGAGTCTACGCGCGGAAACGGGGGCCCACAACAAGTAACAAGTCGTGTATTGCCATTTTCATGATATGATATTAGCGATGTGAATGTGATGAGCGTATGGGGTAAAAAGTATACGACCCGCCTACTGCTCAACAACGGTAGTCCGGCAAACTTCTTTCCCTCAAAATTGTGTGATAAATAAGGTTTATCACGACACGGCACGAGCACCAAGGTCACAGGTATCAAAAATCATCCACTAGTACACAGTCTTGTCAGCTCACCGTTGAGTCTTTATGTTATGCATACGTAACGGATATTCAGTGTCTTAATTTAACTGAGATTACTTAAGTTCTATCGTCTAATTTCATAAACATTATTCATGTACCTATTCCATAAGTGCTTAAACTCGCTGACCCGAATTTTAACATTCCGTAGGTCATTGATATCCTGGTCGGAGCCGAAGTATTTTGGAACGTCATAGGTTCCAATTCTATTGACTTAGGTAAAAACCTTCCCAAATTATGTGAAACCAAATTTGGCTGGTCAATTTCTGGCACCGTTTCACATGAAAATAAAAATAATGTTCATTATTTGCATTTTTGCAATTTTACACAAGCATCTCCCGACCTTACTCAATTTTGGGAACTTGACAACCTTTGTTCCCAACATTTTTTGTCAATAGAAAATGAAACATGCAAAAAACATTTTCTTCAAAATAAATGCCTCTTAAAAAAGATAAGCGCATTAAATAGTTTTTTTCCCTGGAATGTCGGTTCCAACGGGTAGCTATTTTCTAAGATACCTTGATATAAAAAAAGACAAAAACTATTCAGTTCACCCAATAGCAATGGAACTAATTATTTTACACGCCATCATTGAGTTGTTTAGAGTTTGAATTAAATACTCCTTAAATGAAAGTTAAAAAATTTATGAGTCACCACATTTTATTAACAAAAAGATATATAAAGAAAAAAACTCTGTAAATGATTAAACAGGGAGAAAAAACAGCCCTTGCTGAGTTTCTTGCCGGTTCTTCTCAGTACAAGGTCTCCCGCTGTAGATTTACGAACCGATGGCGTAGCTTCTAAACATTCATATGTGCTTATAACAGCCTAAATTGAATAAATGATTTTGATTATTGATTATTATTATAAATAGAAGAAAGTACCTGCGGAAGAAGACAACCCGGCGGATCTTGTATCACGTGGTCTTAGAGCCGACGTAATTGGCCAAACGACATTGTGGTGGAATGGACCTTCATTTATATGTAAAAATGAAAATGAATGGCCAAAAATGCCCAACGTGAAACAAGAACTGCCAGAAGTAGTAACGCTTGTTAGTGACAGTAGTACTTGTAGAAGTAGCATCAGTAGTTCCATTACGCTTTCTGATAATTACGTAGTGCAAAATTTATTAGAGAAATATTCTAGTTTCAGTAAACTGCAAAGAGTAGTCGCTTTTTTGAAAAATATATTTATTGACCACTAGCAAACCCAGCGAACTCCGTTTCGCCACCAGATAGCTTCGTTTTATGTAACATTTCGTTTTGTGATTAAAAGAAAACGATTTTTTTTTAATTTTTCCTGAATTTTCTTTGCTATAAACCTCACGGAGCCCGAGACCTTTCCAACGAATGCAAAACCGTGGAAATCGGTTCGTGCGTTCTGGAGTTATAGCGTCAGGAAGGAAAACCCGACTTATTTTTATATAGTAGATAACAAACAAAAACAGTATGTTGTGTGGCAGTCTATCTTTAACATAATTAAAATTTTCAAATATAATTATACTATTCATTAGGCTCCATTTCAAATGCGCCCAGGGGAAAATATTATTTTTAAATCTAATAAGAAATTGCCTCGCAAAAACAAGTTAATCTCTTTATCAGTTTTCTTAGATCAAGATAATCTTATTCGCGCTGGCGAGGCTTAACAATTCCCCTTATGATTTTAACGTAAAATACCCATTCTTATTAAGCTCTAAACAGCAAACAACAACATCTTTCCCTAAATTAATATTTCAAATGCAACATATTAAATAATTAATCTATTGCACACCGGACCTCAGTTACTTTTGGCAAATATTCGCCATAAATATTCGCCTCTTAAAGGCAGAAACTTATCTAAAGTTATCGTAAACAAATACATAACTTGTTTTTGTTATAGAGCTCGAAACGTGCAGCGTATAAAGGGTTAGTTGCCTGCATTGTTACGTTGTCTATGCTGGGCTAATACTTATAGCTGATCGAAAGGGACGGGACTGTAAACTTAAAAGATCTTATTTGATGCATCTTTCTTTGTTCTACAGTGAAAGCTGTACTTTTGGAATTCATTACGGACCTTACCATTCAGTTTCACCTGGCTACCTTAAATCGTTTCATGGCATGTCAAGGCAAATCACGAAGCATCACGTCCGACAACGGCAAGAACTTTGTGGGTGTCTTTATCGAATTGCAGAGGTTCCTCTTAGGCTCTGATGTTGCATCTGAGATAGCGCAAGAGGGCATAGAATTTAATTTTGTACTTGTTTACTCTCCACATTTTAATTCTTTAGCTGAAGCAGCTGTTAAATACAAGATTTACTTAAAGAGGCTCTTACATCTTACTCATTTGAAATACGAAGAAATGTCTACTTGTTTATTTCAAATAGAGGCCGTTTTAAATTCACACCCTCTCATTCTGTATTATTTATTATTATTGATTTTATATCTTTTGACTCAATTGTTAATTTTTGTACTATATTTTAATATAATAAATTGAATAAGAAAAGAATTGATTAATGGAAATGATATTATAGTTATAAAATTAAATGAATTTTTGTGCTGGTAGAAAACGTGATTTGTAATTTAATTTCATTATTTTTTATTATTATTAGTTTTATGTCTTTTGATTCATTTCTTAATTGTTGTATTATATTGTAATGTAATAAATTAAATAATATATAATAAATTTCTATAATTATATAAAATCTTTGTAAAGAGGATTTCAGTAATATGCACGGTGTGAACAAATTTGAAAAAGAATTGTACGCCTATCAAGGCAGACCATGATATGCTATTATGTAAATAAGACCTGTATTTTGCTCATGTTTTTTAGATAAAGATCCTTACATTTTCCTTTCTTCGGACCCTACCGACTTCTCAGCTCGCACTCCCTCACATTTCCTAATTGGACGTTCACTTTTGTCTGTACCACACCCACAGATGACCGCCACCAAAATCTCTCACTTGGACCGATGGAGGAGGACCCAGTACATCGCGCAGCACTTCCGGAGACGATTCGCTAATGAATATATTTCTCTGCTGCAGATCAAGGCGAAACGGTTCTCATCCACAGGCGCGGTGAGGGATAAAGCTTTCATCCTCATCAAAGACGGAACGACACCACCCCTCATGTGGCGACTGAGTCACCAAGACCTATCCAGGGTCAGCGGGGAACACACGAGTGGCAGAGTTGAAGACCAAGAGCGGCACCTTTCGGCGCACCTTTAACTGCATCTGCCCTTTACCACTCGATTGAAGTCCACTACATGCTTCAACCTGGGGAGTATATGTGTATATTATATACACTCTGTTTGACCCGTTAAAAATGTTTAAATTCGTGTGAAAAGATAAGAAATAAATAAGATTGAAACTATCTTAAATATATAATAATTGCATTGCATCCATAGATAAGGCCGCGTTGTTGTTAATAATAGTAGGCTGATGGTGATAACTGAACAATAACATATACACGACGCAACTCGACACGTGAAGGCTTGCTATATTGACGAGGCATTAAAAATGCACAAACAATGAGACAGACAAAAGATAAAGGCTGCGTTCCGTTGTTTCATCTATACTATAGTCAAATTTGATTATAGTTAAAATACTGTAGAAAAATAACCATTCGCCAAAATTTGACAAATATACTGTGATTTGACGGATATTAACTATAGTCACATTTTAATATCGATGAAACAATGCAGCCTAAACGTAGCCTCTGCGACTTTGTTTTAATCTAAACTCTTCGATGACGTAACCTATTGGACAGTAAAAGATTTAAATAAGTAAAATATAGTTAAAGTAAAATGATGTCTTGTTTCTTACTATATAACCTATATATAGTAATAGTAATAAATAATATCCTTATTACTAACCTAAGTAATAAGGATATTCTTAATACTATAATCAGTGATGCTTTCAATTGCATTTCCAGTTAACTAATAAAAAAACGCACAACTTTTTGAAGTGAAAACTTTTTAAGCAGCGTTATACACTTTTTTTTGTATGGGTAAAAAATGTTAAACTCGCGTCAGGTTAAACACGTGGGCTGATCGCATCATGACACACAATAAAATTGGAAAGGTTGTTGACTTTCAATATATTGGACGAAACATACTAATATTTTATTTTACCGTATTATAGTAATAAGTCTCTCTCTATCTAGGACGTCCACGTGGCAGCTTTATTGCGAAGAAAATGCATTTTTTTACAATAGATGTCGCTAGGTGCGCTTAAATGTGATTCATGTAAGTTGATTTCTTTACAATAGATGTCGTAAAGTGCGTTTAAACGTGATTCATGTAAGTTGATTTTTCTGAGAGATATACTTTTTTTAATTTAATATAAATTGTTCATATTGTAGCGCAATAAATAAATATTGTATTCTATCACATACATGACAGTACTTATATACTGATAATTAAAGCAATTCCTGCAAGATTATTCCCTAACCATTCCAAAATATTAAAATGCACAACGTTAATATTCAAGTTTCCACTTCTGCCGGCACTCCCGGAGTGCAACCCGTCGTTTTTTATTTGTGTTATTACTCCTCCGTGAGCGAGTGGTTTGTTCGCCGGGTTTCAAGATGTCGCCTACCCGAGAGGTTCGAATCCCGGTGGGGGCAGATGTTTGTGTGATGAAAACGAGCATTTGTAGGTACTTCAGTCATGGATGTTAATATACATTTCTATAAAAATTTACTTATATACATATGTATCAGTATATGTATTCTGTCCGTTACCCTGGTATCCCATAACACAAGTCTACAGTGCTTACTTCGGGGCTAGGCTAATTGGTGTGAGTGTTGGAAATATTTATATTTATTTATTACTGTAGGACAATTTGATAAATTGATCTAGTAAGAAAACTCGAATTAATTACTTTATTATCAAACATAAGAATTTAATTGCCACGGTTACTTTGAAATCGAATATGTACAACTTATCATTAAAGTCCAATTAGTGGCCATACCATGACTTGTTCTCGTTAGTAAACCGTGACCACGAACTCGTATTGTAAAGATTTTTCATCGATAAAATAAATATACTAATTGTAATCATAAATTGAGTAGTAACATAGCGTCTCAAAAAAAACTCGAGGCTTGTACACACAAAAAGTTAGAGACCATTTTAAGTTACTTTTTGTTATGCAATTTTTGTTATGTGTCCTGCTGCCTAGCTAACTTTTTGTGGTAATAGTATTATTGTGTTATTTTATATATTTTCCGCTTTCTTCGTCGAAGCTAATGAAAAAATAATAATTTGTTGTAATAGTTGTAAGTTTCATTTAGTCCCACTAATTATGAAATAAACGGGATGTCTGAAAGGCGCCCCTGGTTCTACTTTAAAATAAAAACGAAGATATGACGTGGGCTGGCAGCCTTATTAACAGCGAGCGATTTAATGCCCGCTTTCCTCTGAAAGGGGGAAATGTGCGGAAATATCTGGGTAGAATGCATACATGCATACAGACAAGCACACACACATACACACACTTCATTACTTTATAACGTGGTTAAAAAGTTAGTTTCTGTATTCTGTAATTTTACTTTTCATCTGTTGCAATATTTTTTTTGCATTCATTGGGTGCCCACGATACAGTACCTCCTAGTGTGGGACCCATGGTTATAAGCTGACTGTATGATGTGAATTTTAATAAATATGTTTGTATTTGTAGAATATAGTGAAACATATTTTCCTTTTTACTAACAAAACTACTCAGGTCATTTTTATGGTAGTAATATGTTTTTTCGGATAAAGAGGAATCCAGTGAATTGACGACCTCCGTGGCCGAGTGGTATGTACGTACGCTGGGTTTCAAGGTGTCGCCTACTCAGAGGCACCGGGTTCGAATCCCGGTGGTGTAAATGATTGTGTGGTGAATACGAGCATTTATACCTTCGTCATTGATGTTTATATGTATTTCTATATAAATGTACTTAAAAGTATATGTATTCTATCCATTACCCTAGCATCCCAGAACTCAAGCTTTACAGTGCTTATTTTGGGACAAGGCTAATTGGTGTGAGTGTTATTAAAAATCACAAAGGAATATTTTATTGGCTACCATCCTTAGTTTTTTGAGAATTCCAGAGGAACCTTACATTTTTCCTTGATTAAAACTACCTATTCTATGTCTGACTTCAGGTAATAAACTGTATGTATGAGTGCTTAATTTCATCCAAATCAGTTCAGGCCCTTTTGCGTGATCAAGTATCAAACATACAAACTTATAATGTTTCCCATTCATAAGTCATAATATTATTAGTACGTCAAATATGACTCTAAGGTATATGAATAATTTATTTCAGAATTAAATGAAATAGCAAAAAAAATAATTAACTAATAGTATAATTTCACAGTTGACACCAAGCCATATCACCAATAACGTGTCAAATTGTCACAATCGATCGAATTTCAATTCAACGGTATATCGATTGCAGAGCTAAAAGTTTTATTTGTATCATAATAGGATATTAGGTCGTATCAGCTCCATGTTGTCAGTGCTGTTTCTGAGCAGATCTAGCAAGAAGTCCAGGTCTTGAAAGGTAGGGGTGCTGAGCGCGACGTGATGCGTCCACCGCGTGATCATCTCCTGCATCGTGTAGGGCGCGTCCTGGGGTGCCATGTGACCCGCGCCACGGACCATGACTTCGGTCAGCCCTCCGCCCGATTTGTGATAGCTGATGAGAGAAGAAATGTGTTAAAAAGTGTCCAAGTTTTGAGCCACCGGATAATTCTATGTTCAAAATAAGGCTAAGGGTAAGACATATCTGTCATCGATCATCAAATTATTATGCAAATAAATAAATAAATATTTCCGACACTCACACCAATTAGCCTAGCCCCAAAGTAAGCACTATAATAAGGCTTGTGTCATGGGATGCTAGGGTAACGGATAGAATACATATATAAGTATATTTATATAAATACATATTAAACATCCATGACTGGAGTACAAATGCTCGTATTCATCACACAAACATCTGCCCCCACCGGGATTCGAACCCGAGACCTCTCGAGTCAGCGACAGCTATGAAACCCGGCGTACAAACCACTCGGCCACGGAGGCCGAGGTCGAGGCCACGAGCCGCAAAACGTAAAGTATCCCTATTTGAAGAAAATTGAAGCCGAAAAGAAATGTAAATAAAATTGTTAAAGCGACAGGGTCAAGGTGTCTAGACATCTACTTATTTACCCCATCTTTACTAGGAACAACAGAATACTGAAAAGTTGATTTAGCCCTTAGTCAAGGTTTTGAGGCTGCAAGTGGGCTTAAATTCAATGTTGTTTTTGCTGTTTTTTTTAAAGCTGCAAATTACAGTAATCTGGATTTATCCTACAATATTCGAAAGTCTAATTTTAGTAAAACTTTAAACAAATTGGTTACAGAGTCTCCAGAACAGTTACTCACCCCACAAGTCTGTGTTTAAATGTTAAAGGATAGCGGGTCGCATTTAGGAACTCAGAAGAGTTGTCCCATCTCCATTTGCGGTAATATTCCGATGTGGTAGCACACGGCAGCATCTGATCCAGTTGACCACTGGTGACAAATGATTTATTTGTAAAAATATATCCACATTGCTTCTCGGAGTGGTTGAAGGAGGTAGTCAATCTCCACTTGCGGTGCCATTTAAGCCCTTTCACTTGCTGAAAATGAATCAATCACTGCACAACCTCAAGTTTAATGGTACATATCAGTGGACTTAAGGATAACTCCGCTATGATTTTTGATCCTTCTTTACGGATGAGACCTATTCTCTTTACCTTTGTGCAAATTTTATTGTTATGATTTTTAACATAAGTACCTTTTCCTCACGAATTGAATCACGCTTAGATGACTGAGTAACCTGCTTTACATAACTGAGTGCATAATACAGAACTCTGGAAGACTTCATAATCTATTAAGCGATAAGAGTTGATTGATATTTAAAATTTTGTAAGTATAGCGACCAATGCCGAATCATTTCTAAGTGCTGATTAAACTACCACCCGATTATAAACCTACAGTCTGCCAAAGCCCTTGACAATCAAAAAAAAATTTTTTAGTTCATAAATATTGTCACACAGTAAAATTTTTCTCTTAGAATGCTGTCTCAAAAAAAAAAGTTTATTGTATTCGAATTTCGAATTGTTCATGAAAATAAAAATGTATACTTTTTAGAATTTTACTCATTTTTAAATATGGAGTGGACGCTCAAAGAAGACCGTGTTGCAGTTATTGCGTTACATCGTTGCGGTTACGCGCCAATTAAAATTTTTGACATACTGAAAATTTTTAATATAACCAAAAGATTCGTTTATCGTACCATCAAACGATACAATGAAGACTAGTGTAGAAGACAGGTTAAGAAATGGTCGCCCTCGTTCTGTTAGGACTCCAGCAGTGATAAAAGCTGTGAAGGCCGGAATTCAAAGAAATCCCAAACCTAAGCAGAAACTGTTGGCCCTTCAGATGGGGTTAAGCATAACCACGGTGAAAAGGGTGTTAAATGAAGACTTAGGGCTTCGGGCATCTCGAAGAAAAACAGGACATCGTTTGAATGCTCGTCTAATGGACCTGAGACTGAAGACTGAAGAGATGCCGCTCTTTGTTGAAGCGGTACGCAGGAAAAAAATATCGGAAAATTCTTTTTTCGGATGAAAAATTTTTTACCGTAGAAGAGAGCTACAACAAATAAAATGATAAGGTGTACGCACACAGTAGTGAAGAAGCGAGCAACCGTATTGCGCGTGTCCAAGGAGGTCATTTTCCATCCTCGCTCATGGTATGGTTGGGAGTTTCTTATTGGGGATTAACAGAGGTACATTTTTGTGAGAAAGGTGTAAAAACGAATGCAGTGGTGTATCAAAATACAGTTCTGACGAACCTTGTGGAACCTGTTTCCCATACCATGTTCAATAACGGGCACTGGGTTTTCCAACAAGATTCGGCGCCATCTCATAGAGCGAAGAGCACACAAGACTGGCTGGCGGCGCGTGAAATCGACTTCATCCGGCACGAAGACTGGCCCTCCTCCAGTCCAGATTTGAGTCGGTTAGATTACAAGATATGGCAACACTTGGAGGAAAAGGCGTGCTCAAAGCCTCATCCCAATTTGGAGTCCCTCAAAACATCCTTGATAAAGGCAGCCGCCGATATTGACATGGACCTCGTTCGTGCTGCGATAGACGACTGGCCGCGCAGATCTGTATTCAAAATCACGGAGGTAATTTGAATAAACTTTATTGTCATAAGAATCTATGTTTTGTTAAGTGCATTTTTATATATAAATGGTTACATAATGAATAAATTTGTTTTAATTATTTTATATTAAACATGTGACACAATTTATGACCTGACTAGGTATAAGCACTCATGAATATCTAAAAGCTACGCCACCGGTTCGTAAATCTACGGCGGGAGATCTTGTACTGAGAAGAATCGGCAAGAAACTCAGCAAGTTGAAAAATGACCTTAAGGGTAATAAAATCCGATATAAAGATTTTTTTGTTTCAGTATGTACAAGATAATATATAAATACTCACTTACCAATAAACTAATACTTGGTAATCGTTGAGTAGAGACTCGACCAGCGGTCGAGCGTTGGACAAGAAGTCTGGTGCGAGCTTCTTATTGACGGTGATGTTGACGAAAGAATGCTTGACGTCTCCTATGTGGAGGGCCTTCTTCACCTCTGGCAGTCTCATGAACCACTCGTAACGGCCAGCCGTCATCTCATCCCGGAGAAAGTTGTACGCTTGCTTCTGGTTCGAAAGGAACAGCAGCAATGCGATTATGGCATTCCATCTCTGTAAGAAATAAATTGGTTACGTTAAATCAAAGAAGAAAACTTTCTATATAAATATTTGCATCGAGGTATGTATGTTTATTGAAATGAACTGTGCTTTATTTGGTACCCAATTTGGAACATTTTATGTTAACAAAAACAAAGCGTAAACAATGCTGACTTTAACGAAAATTACTACATCTCATGATCCCATGCAATCGGTTAGTCTCTAACTAGGTAATATCTAAGCTAAAATTTAATCGAATCTAAGGGATAACGAAATGGTGTGAGAAGCTCTTATTTAAAAAAAAACCGGCCAAGTGCGAGTCGGACTCGCGCACCGAGGGTTCCGTACAAACCTGCAAGGTTTACAAAGTTCGTTCATTACGACAATCGAGTCATAACTATGGTATTTTTATTGCGAAATGAAATTCATAACATTACAATGGGGAAAGATGGAGGAGCATAAATTTAAGACAAAGATCTCTTTATCGTTTAAGTAATCCTTTATTTTATATTAACACATATCATTTATCTATAATATAACTGAAACACTTATACTAGCCTTGCAGCAGACTTGCGAAAGTTCTTTTATTAAAGTTATTTATTTACTAAGTTTTTTAGTCACTATTTAGAAATCTGGTTCAAAAATATTAATTAAGTATTAAATTTGAACCAGACCTGTAAATGGTGACTGAAAAAGTTATGAATAGTACCACATTGAACATTGTAATAAGTTTATATTTATTAAAAAATATATATTTTGTAATGTAACTAAAAATTTAAGGTTTTCGGAATTTTTCCTTTATGTGTGCTATAAAACGTTGCTTCATGCCAAATTTCAAGATTCTAGGTCGACTTTAGGTTTTGATTCCCTTGCGAGTACTTGCGAGTTTCAAAATATCCAGCTTAAATTGCTGTTTCTTTTGATTGCGTTGACATAGAAGTTTGATTTTGTTACAGCTTAAAGGTATTATAGACCTGAGTATTTGGTATGAATTTCAATTTAATACCTCTACGCGTTTATGAGGAAATGGGTAGTAAGGTTAAAATTATTAAAAAAAAATATATTATGTGATGTAACTAAAAATTTATGGTTTTCGTAATTTTTCCTTTATCTATGCTATAAGACGTTGCTTGGTACCAAATTTCAAGATTCTGAGTTCACGGGAAGCACCCTGTAGGTTTTGATTCCCTTGCAAGTGTCGAAAATTTGCGGCATAAACGGCTGTATCTTTTGATTGCGTTGGCTTAGAAGTTTGATATTTTCACAGCTTCAAGGGACAGTAGACCTGAGTAATTGATATAAATTTCAGCTTCATACCTCCACGCGTTCCTGAGAAAAAGGGTCTTGACAGACGGACGGACGGCCAGACGGACAACAAAGTGATCCTATAAGGGTTCCGTTTTTCCTCTTGAGGTACGGAACCCTAAAAACGAAGAATCCAGTTGCCGTTTCCAATATAATTTTTATAGTTTTAAGTATAACGTTACACATTTTACTCATTGACGTCTAAAGTATAGCAGTCCTGTAGTACTTACTTCCTTTGCTTTGACGCTCCTATTTTCAGCAACGTCACTTTTGAACTTGTCCAAAAGTGGCTGCACAATATCGAGTTGTTCTTGCACCAGCAAACCGAAGTGATAGAACGTTTCGGTGATCTTCAGAATCATCCCTGGTTCTATGTATGCGTTGCCCATCATTAATCCCTGAAAAAATAGTAAGACATTAAATATTAAACTTTATGGAGTAGATATTATTAGTTTAACGTAGGGTTTCCATGTCTAAATATCTAAAAGTCCGAAACTGCATGATTATAAAGTTATTTTTCTACAATTAATATAGACTTTTGTCGGAAAATAATGAATTTACAATTAACCTTAATATAGAATTCGTAATTAATAAGGATAATATGATTTGTGTTTTCGCGGAACTACTAAGAGTTTTGCGGATTTTTGTCTGATCCTACGATACTTATGTATACCTTGAGATTGATATCTCCCTCTAGAAAGTTTCTGTGTTTGTGTATCTCCATTGCAAGTGCTGGCACGTACTTGCCCGCGTAAGATTCACCGGCGACATACAACGGAGCAGTTCTCAACTCCGGAAACACTAGCAGGAATTGCTTGGTTGTGCTGTATAGGTGGCTTGCATACTGAAAGTGTATAAGTGTGTTGATATACTTTTTACTGACTTCCGATTTATATGATCGTCGCAGATTACATTTCCATCGAGGGGATCACTGGAAATGAGCACCAATTAAAATTAATATTCTTAGAAAATAAGTAAAAGTCTGATAAATCTTGTAATGTATCATTATTAGTATAACAACAGCTAATAACAGGAAACAAACAATTGAATTGAAATTAGATACAAAGCTAAGGTGTGTGTGTGTGAATCTACTTGCAATAATCGAAATAATAATTGAATCAAACAAATTTTTTCATATCATTTTCTTTAATTAGGTATAGTTTAGGATCTATTGAAATTGGTGTCTATTACCAAATTTTAGGTAATAGGTCTGATTATAGCTTACAGTTGGCATGTCAGTAACGTATCCATCCTTATGGTTGGTAAAGCTGCAGCCAGTGCCCACAGGGTTGTCTATAAACAGCAACGAATGGTTCTGCAACCATGTGTATGGATTACCTGTATGGTCGTATATAAGAATACCCAGTAAGAATATAATTAAAGAAAAGGCTTCTAAATGCAGTCATCGGAATATACAAGCAAATTCACATTATTTTGATTTTAGACAGAATAATAAGTTAATTAGGTGGTCACTTACGTACTAACATCTTCTTTTGGTTAAGCCTAAATGGTCCCATCTCATCAAACAGGCCAGACATACTGGAGGCACCAGGACCTCCTTGCAACCATATTATCCACGGAGTTTCATTAACCATCTTCTTTTCTACTGGGAAATACCAAAAAAATATATTAGAATCATACGTCTTATTGACAGTGAAGAATCCAGAATAACTCTTAATCCCGAGAAATAAGTCGGGATTTACTTCGGCTGCTTTACGCCCTTCTTCAGTTCGGCCATCTTCTATGTAACTGGTTAGTTTTAGTACTTTATTGTTATCTTTATCCCTCCGATCACATGGGCTATCGTCTTCATTAGGAATAAGATTGTCTATAATGTCAGAAGTGTTATTTGAACATTTATCTTCAACTTTCACAGGTATAAGAGTAGGTAAATCTGGCTGCGTATTGTTTTCAGTATTGGCTGTGGTACTTTCATTTTGATTTACCAGTGATCCTCCACTTAAATTTACTGTTAATTCTCCCGCTATTCTATTTACTACAGATTCTGCAACACCTATGTCTTTATCTATTTCATTTGATATATGTGGCAATACTGTATCGGTCACTGCTATTCTTCCATGTGTGCTGAAACAATGTTTATCTCATATATAAAATTCTCATATCACAATGTTAGCTTTTGTTAATGTTAGCCACCTTTGCTTACTATGTACTTGACTATATGTCTTAAACTATATGATGTAATAAAGAGTATAATCAGTTACCATACTCCTCGGAAACGGCTAGACCGATTTTTATGACATTTTACATGAATATTTAGTAGGCCTGAGAATCGGGTACTATCTATTTTCAATGCCCCTAAGTGGTAAAGGTTGTCCCTCCCTAAGATTTATTTTTTGGCCAAATTCAATTTTTTTTATTATGATTCGTCATTAAAAAAGACATACAACCCTAAATTTTTATCCTTATACCACCAGCCCCTATTTTTATGGTTTTATAAAGTTCGCCGGGTCAGCTAGTAATTTATATTAAATTATATAATCAGCAATATCAAAACAGAGACACAAAACAAATTATTGTTAAGTTTTAGTAGTACATAAATTAATATATGTTAGTAGGTACTAAACAAGTGTGAGAATGATACCTATCACGATCAATTAAGAAGATAATATATGTAGCTACATATCATTCAATTCACTATTAATTCTTAGGTTTGATTTAACTTGACGCTGTCAATTTCTTAGCAATGTTAATAGATTAAGCATACATGCCACTTAATGGAACATTAAATTTTATAATTGTCACTGAATGATACAATAAGTGTATACCTGTCACATTATTCAAAATAAATCGAATGACTTTTATTCAAGTGGTTTCATTGAAGTGGCACTCGGGGGCCCACTGGCATCTTCAATCATAGTACCTAGGCTAATCTTATCATAAGAAATTACATGTTTGTGACCGTTGGGAATTTTGTTACGTCACTGCTGAATCATAATTATGATCTTTTGACATGACGTTTGATCTTAATATTTTATTCTTTAAGTTATATGTATATATGTGTAATGGTACAAAGAGTATTACAAGTGTATACTACTGGCCGCGCATTACGAAATGTGAAAGGTACTCAGTCTGTCCGTCCGTTCGTCTATCTATCTCTCTGTTACGGTTTCAAGCCAATGTGAAATAATCTCTTAACTGTGTACTGCGAAGGCTTCTTGAGGAGCTCGAGGGCGCAAATGGTTAGCGCGTTCGAGGTCGGTCATTGGACGGGTGACCAAAAATTTTATATCTCGAGTTCTCCGTGCTTCGGAAGGCACGTTAAGCCGATGGTCCCGGTTGCATCTGCAGTCGTTAGCACCCGCCAATCCGCACTATTCCCGCTTGGGGGGTCATGGCCCAATCTCCCTATTCCATTCATAGAGAAGGCCTGTGCCCCAGCAGTGAGGAGATTAATAGGCTGTACTGCATTGTTGTCAATGTTATATTTTATTGTGCTCCGCGTGGTGCAAGGTAATGTATTTTTTAAATCGAATACTTTGATGCTTCGTTTGTTTTTCTTTATAGAATGTGTATTTGCTACGTTTCTTTTATATAAGAGGACGTAGTTTGGTCCCCACTTGATTATATATTTACACAAAACAAAGTGATGATACTATTTTTATTACGATTTTACCCTTTGAACTTATAGACCGATATCTGACTATTAACGCTCTGGTAGTATCGTAAATCTTGAATATTGTACTTAAATAAAGATAAGGTTGAAACAAATTAGTTTATTTTAGTACAATTTATTATTGATAATGACAAGGAAGCTGCCAAACAGTTTATAAAGCGTTATGTAATGAAATATAGGTTGCGGCAAACAGAATTTGCTTTGTTTTAACCTTAAAGAATGTAATTTAAATCTTAAATAAATATTCTTGTAATCTATTAGATCCACTTTAACAACATTTAAATTATCAGAATCCTGCTTAAGCATAATTTCATCTATGTTAATTTTTATTTTAACTGGAAAAGGGATTGAAGGCTTAGCACTCAGATTATTATTAATGACTTGTATTCTGATTCCTTGTAATCTAAAGCTTAACTTTTTTTATCAAGAGAGCCTAGAAGAGCCAATGGCCCAGACTACAATTGCTGTAGTTAGTAGACAGTGGCAGAATAAATTTCTAAATGGTATAGTGTGGTAGGTAAAACTGATGCACCAGCTATCTTCTCCATCGTCACTTAACATCCCTACCCTATTCCATTAAGTCGACATATGTCGGTTTGGTATCAAAATTTTCTGTTAGTAGTATATCTTATATTTCTTTGAACGCAAAATCATTAATATTTTAGGAGAAATTTATTCGTTCTTTATAAATTCTCCTGTTTAAAAACTCACATTTTCAAGCTTTCACGGAAAGCCGTTATGTAACTAACAACAAAACACTATAATTGTAAAGCAAATCTTCGTCCTTTTCTAATCAATAATATAAATATAATTAAAATAAAATAAAATTAACCCATGGCCTTAAAAAACTTTAAATTGTCATGAAATATGTAGTACCTAAAAACATCAGGCATCAATGAACCGGCTCCTACTATCGGGTTATCTGCTAATAACCAGCAATGACACTGACGGAATAGTAATGATGAAATAAATAGCAAGTGTGACAACTTTTTAAGCAGACTTCAAATAAGGTTTTGAGGCTCATAATCACCAGTCTACTCCAATTTTGAGATTTTTTCTTTTGTTTAAAACTGTTTAAAAAATGGGCCCTTACATTATGATAATGTGTAATATCTTTGTTTATAAAATTCCCATATGCTGTATTTTGACAACAAACTCACACAATCTCTCTCACAATGTTGGATACATTGCGAGACCATGAGTATTAGCCACCCCTATTGATATTTAGAAATAATATTTAGTAGTTGATTAGTGACTTACTGGTGCGTTAACATTTTAATTGGCTAAACTGTACTTCCTGGGCCCAAGTGGTGATACTCCACACTAGGATAGGATAGGTTAGTGTTCTGACCATAACGCGCGAGCCGAGCGAGCGAAGCGAGCGTACCGCGGGAGTGGCCGGCGAAGCGTCAGATTTTTTTTAAAGAAACCTTTTCTACAAAAAAGTTCGAGTATCACCTCTTGGGCCCTGGAAGTACAGTTTTACCTTTTAATGAACAATGGAGCTATAGAATTGAACATAGTTCATAGTTATTGTACTGTTATCATTTTTTGTTACTTAAATTTTAAAAGCCCACAAGTTAAGTACCATATAAGACAAAATACCTATGTCTTATTTTACAAATGAACATCTCTAAAATGTAAGGTCATAAATCAAATACCTAGATAAACTTTACTTCCGTTTATTTTTAAATGTGGGATTTACTATAATTAAGAATACGTAGTAGCATGTAGTAGTGAATAAAAAACTTTGCATCGCCAAAGATAAAATCTTTTCTAAATAACAAATGTTTGGAAAACAAACTAGGTATTTATTATAACTACCTACGCCTTCAAATGAATAAACAGGCTTTTTTTGTTTTAAATTTAATTCCGAGGTATTTAAGCCAAATCGGTGTTTACTTATTTTTTGACTCGAAAATAAACAAATATATTTAATAATAATAATGTTCTTTATTGACATACACCTCACAGGACATACAATACATTAAACATGACAGTGGAAACGTTACTGTGGTTAGTAATGTGGTTAGGCAAGCCTAAATAATCGATACTTATAAGCTACCATGATAACCTTTGCAATAACAATAAAAAAAAATATATGCTACTCACCTGGTAATTAACACTATTAAACAAATATATAATTCACTGCCGTACATTTTGACACAGAACTCCTTTTTGTAAATTAAAATCTTAAATGTATAAGTAAAAAATGGTACATATTTGTTTTTCTTGGTGGGTAATAATTGATGCGTATTGACACTGTGACCAGTATCGAGTGAAGATACCGCTTGAACTGTGTGATCCTTCTAATCGTGAGTACGGTTTGTGGCCGAACTGCCATTGATATAACAGTGATGTGAAGGTCGGAAATTGGAGTACTGTTATCTGCAAATCAAAGGGACCCTAAATTAAACTAAATAACTTTTTTAACAAAAATGAAAACTGACTTCATAGAACAAAACAACAAAAAATTAAGAATTATTATAAACCTAAAGAAAATTTTACAAGAAAAAATTCCACATGGACTAGGCAGCAAACGGGACTCGAACCCGCTCCGCTATCCAGGTGGACTCTCTGAATATTATGCTAACGCGGCCCTAATGGCCGTGTCGAATTTTTTTTATTATTTGTTAGGTGGCAAGGCAGCGCCATACATAAAACTAAACACGATATGTACTGTTCTTATTTGAGGTGTTCCGTTGTTTATCTCCGAAATTATTTGCCAGATCTTCGCCAAATTAATATGGAACAATTAAAAAAATATAATGACAAAATGAGAACGTCCTCCTTGTTGAAGTAGGGGTGATGACGGACTACAGTAAACGAAATTCTATTTAGTTCTTCAGTTAGATGATCCAAAAATAATGGACACGTATTTTTTCTTTGGGCAATCAACCAAAAAATGACAAAGTTATAGCGCGTCAAAGTTTGGGACTAGGGGCTCGTGACGTCACTTTGAGTGAATTTTCACTTATAAGTGTGCTCAAATGTGACGTCATGCAACTTTTCAAATCAATATATCTCTGCAATGTTTATATTATGTGAAAAAAAAATACGTGTCCAATACTTTTTGATAATCTACCTGATAAATGAAGAAAAAAAATTAGTCATCATTCCTATTACTCAAAATTTTAAATTTTGTGGGAGAAGGCAATCAAAATTTGGTTTGCTTTACCAACTTTAATATGTTACAAAGAAATGTGTAATGATTTATGTTAATTTTAAAAGTAGAAAAAACTGTTGATGATCTGGCTAGAAACCCCAGAGCCTAGTGAACCTGATACTATACTGAAGATCAGTCAGTCTTTAAAAGGAATTTTAGAAAAGGTGGACCTTAAAATTAAGATAGGTCATACATACACGGACGGCTTGAACCTGTCAGTGAGACTGCATAGCGCACAAAAAAATAGTCTTCTACGTACACAGACAATCAATCAATTTATTGCACACCATAATGTTAACATAAGTTTTTAAAAACATGCAACCGCTCGAGCTGTTGCGACTGGGACGAAATGGCAGCTTCTAGCTGTTATGTACCCTCAGCACGAACTAATATCGAATTCGAATAGTTTGCGAGTCCGAAATTTGATTGTCAAAAGTGTACTGATTTTTAGTTCTCGTTGCATACTTTGTGGCACTGCTGTTGAAGTTTCCATACACAATTTGACAATGACATTTTGAACTATTCGAATTCGATAATGGTTCGTGTTAAGGGTACAGTACTTCAGCACGAACCGACCGACAACGAAACCGAGTAGGTACATTGATCTCTGGCTAAACTGCTCGAGCAGTCTGAAGGCGCTGTCCCACGATCCGTGTTATCGCGGGCGACGCGACGCCGCGACGCGCAGGGTTGCCAGGCGTATGAGAACTCTAACGTTCGAGATTAAGCAGTATCTATACATTATACAAGGTGATAATACGATGATACGAATAAGGATTCATTTAGTGATGGCATAATAAATCTGTATTTACTGAGACTATCCTCTGTGTACTGGATATTTATTTACTGTGTGTAATATTTTTGGTTAGTGTACATGACACATCGTTAAGAACTCACGAATACTATATCTTTATTATTACATTTTTATTTTAAGCATTTAACAGCTAGATCTGTCATATTTGAAGTCGACTAAAGAAAGAAATAACTCAAAGTTTCAATTTTGTGGAAGAAAGCAACCAAAGTTTGGTTTGCTTTAGCAACTTTATTAAGTTACAAAGAAAATGTAAAATGATTTAGGTTTATTCTTAAAGTAGAAAAAAACTGTTGACAAAAGATCTATAAATTATTTATTAGTTTATTCACCCGGATAGCGGAAGGTGTCGGTTCGAATCCTGTTTGATGCCTTACCTCGTGGATTTTTCATAGTGAAAATTTTCTGTGGTTTTATTATACCTATGCCTAACATTCTAGTTAGGTAAGTGCAATTTGGGGTATAGTAATTACCGAATGATACTCGGCTGTGCAGCTTTCGGGAAATTTTAAAAACTGCTGTGCTAATATAAGACTACGAACTGTTCTATTCAGTATAAAATCTTCTTCTAAAGACTTCTATAAGTGCTAGAAATATAGATAACATTTTTAATAATCAGTAGTGTAGTGAATATACAGATAACGGATGAAACTATACGTAATAATATTTCTTTTATTATATTTTTTAAGCATTTAACTGCTAGAGGTTTAAATCAAAAGAAAGTCGGTCAAGGTTTCAGGCGGGATTCGATCGAACCCGCATCTTCTGCTATCGGGACGGATAAATGATTTTGCTGTTATTTTAAATAAAAAGTGTATCAACTTAAAAAGCTGAAAATGCATTACTGTAATATTTTATATTACACAGAAATAATACTGAAATTTACTGTTACAACCAGCCCCCCTAGCATGAGTAAGAAAACGCGATATGATAAAACGATTTATCGACATTAACTGTCAAACTACAATGGAGTTTGACAGTTGAGTGTCGATAAATCGCTTTATCATATCGCGTTTTGTTAGTCATGCTAGGGGGGCTGAAGGCCATTCGCCTAACGGAAATGGGAAAACAATACAATACAAAAACTCTTTATTGTACACCACAAAAAAACATTGAACTTTAAGTACAAAACCATCTAGTACACGTGATGCAATGGGCGGCCTTATCGCTTAAAGCGATCTCTTCCAGGCAACCTTTAAACGCTAACGCTTACGATTTAATTTTGTTATTTTTAGCCGCTTGAGGTTTTCAAATGCTTCGCGCCCTTTTTTTTCTTTTGCATTGGTAATAACAATATTTAAAAAAATGGGTGCGTGTACTTATGTAGGCGCGTGAGAAGTTATCCTTCTTTGGCATCGTTTAAAATTAGTTTTTAATTGCATGCAAATAATTAATTACAATAAATTAATACAAAGTCTGGAAAAGGACACAGTCAATAAAGTTTAGTTTTAATTTGAAAAAATAAATAAATAATCAAAATATTCAATTAAAATCGCTACTGAATATAATTTATTAGAACATATGTGATTTGCACTTGTATGAAACTCAAACACGTATTCCGAATATACAAACTAGAAACATGTGGATAAATATTATAAATATGAATACCTATAACTGTTACTTTATTACAAAAAATGAAGATGTGGTTTTTGGTTCTACTACACCAATGGTCAAGAGATGGCGCTGTAGTCTCCTGAATCGCGCTTTGGTTCCGTTGTTCCAGATTAATAAATACTTTTTGATAGGCCTTCACAATGCAGTCGTTAGCACCCACTAAATAGAGATTCTATTTCTATTTTGTTGGTAGATTTTCTTAATGTGCGGTAAACACAAAAGTAACGCATGAAGTTGGTCGCTAAAGCGACCAACTTCATGCTGTTAAAATTTTGTGTTACAGTGATGCGCGCGCATCTTAAAATTTCACTCTCATCATTTTTTCATAACGCTCCTAAAGAAGTATAACTTCAAAAATGAGCGTAAGGAAAACCTTCGGCGGTCAGAAATAACAAAATAAAATCGAAAGCGTTAGCGTTTCCAAAGCAATTCCGTTAGGCGAATGGCCTCCAGATGTGTTTTTGTTTAATAAATACTCACGAGAGCTACACTTTTTTAATAAATAACTTAATAGACTTAGATGAACGATTGTTCTCCCTTCGTCGACCACAGGGAGACCAATCTATACTAATACATATGTACCTGATTGGTTGCATCTAAATACTTCAACTTATTGCACTTTTTGAAGAACGAAACAATAAACGAAGTCGATGAAAAACTGAATTCAATCACTTGGAATATCAAACTAAAATTGCTTGCCCGTTCGTAAGAAAAAAGAAAGACCATCTTCTATTTTCTGCAATTGATATTGTATTATAATGTTGATATATGTTTTATTTTTTTAATGTAGTTGAACTGAGTGCATTGACATTGAGTAGTTAGTTCACTATAATGCCAAAAATCCAATGAATGGAAATTTTGAGTTAACTAGTAGTTTGATTAAAGGTGCGAAATTATCGAATAAATGACGTTTTTTCAGAGCAGACCTTCTTCTTTGCATTAGTTAATTAGAAGGAATAATATAACTCTAAAAATAAAAGAACGACTTTTTTGTCCTTTAAATATAAAATTGCTATCCAGGGTGGCAATATTGCATGTAATAAATAATAATGGACACCTTTGCGTCAGGAATGGGCAACAACACAGGGCTTACTTGACTAAATTAAATTGTAAACTGTATTTGAATTGTAAATAAAGAATTATGACAAGATAAAATCAAAATTCAAGTCAATCACAAGACTGAAAAACTTTTGTCACAAGAAGTTATAATCTATTACCGAAATGAACTTCACCTGGGCAACTAACATTATGCAAGAACGAATTAATATTTTTCTGTGAGCTTGACAGCTTTGCTCCAATTGCAACTGGAAATCCACTTACTCTCTTTACTCGACTAGTACTACTACATATGTTGATTTCCACTAAAGCGCTTAAACTACTAAACCGATTTTCAACGATTCGTAATTACGAGCGAGTATGGTTGCAATGGTTTAATGTCAATAATCTAAAGTTAAATGCTAATAAAACAAAGTGTATTAAATTTTCTTTACCTAATGTAAAAGTAGAACATATTGGAATTAAATTAAATAATGAAAAATTAGATTTAGTAGACTCCACTACATTCTTGGGTATAACGACACACTCAAAACTGCAATGGAACTATCACATTACGCTTTTGGCTGGTAAACTTAGTTCAGCAGCTTATGCCATTAGAAAGATAACTTACTGATACAGATACTGCCAGGACTGTATATTTT